ATATATATATGCATACACACTAGTTTTTGTTCTAGTGCTATACTTACCACTTTTAGTGCTGACATTCCAACTGGAGAAATGAGACATAAGCAAAAGAAAAACAACAGATAGCTTGAAGCAATGCCAAATAAGCGGTGCAAATAATAAGCCCCCCAGAAAAGAAAAGGTTGCTGTGAGCTAGCATGATTTGGAAAAGCGGTTCACATATGATTCACGAATTGGACTTGATGTTAGGTATTTAAGTCAGGTATGTTGTATTTCAACGCAAGGGCAGGAAATAGTATAGCTTTTGATTAGAGCTTAATGTTAGCCACATCTGCCAGTTTATGTAATATACATATGTTATGGTGTCTAAAATGGCTAAGGTAATAATCCACTGTTTTATGTACCAAGGGCCATTCTGTTTGTGGCATAGCATTTCAAGAAAGATACTGGTAGATTTGTTAACTGGACCAGAGAAAGGTGACCAAGATGTATGAATCTTAGAAACCATGGCTCAGGAGGATTGGATGAAGGATTTGGTAGTATTTGACTGGAAAATAGGAAGGAGAGTACCTGGGTACATGACAGCTATCTCTTGTGTAATGGACCTAGAAAAGATAGATAGCAGTGTGGGCTGTTCTTAAAATTTTTAACCACTGCTCTCAAGTAGGCTCCCCTGAAGTTCTACCGTAGTTCCTAATAAAATCACTTTGTCAATCTTTAAAATGACTGTTTCTTGTTTTCTTTCTTGATAATTTTCTAACACTCTCTTCCCACCTTGTCAGTTTATAACCTTGCGTCCCTAAGAAAATAGAATCCAAAAGAGAGCTGCTTTATTGCCTCACCAGCAAAACCACAAGGCTACATAATTTATCCTTGTACTTTTCTTTCTGTTCGTTCATAAGAGATGAATTGTCCTTTCCCTTTTCTAAGGCCAATACTTCCACTTGTCCTCTGTATTCCATCCCCTGCTGCCAACTTAAGAAGGTTACTTTGGCAGTGACATACCCTTTCTCTTGAGTCTTCAATTTTTCCATCTCTCCTGAATCATTCATGTTAGCATATAAACATAATGTACTTTTGCTAATCCTAGGAAAACTTCCATGAACCAATGTCCCCATTCAGCTATTATCTTATTACTCTGCTTCCCTTTACAACAAAATACCTAGGAAGATTTATCTATGCTTACTCTGTTTTACTTTCTCACCTTTCATTCTTTCTCTTACTTGTTCTCCTGGAACTGTTCGTGTCATGGTAACCAAGGACTGCCATGTTAGCAAATCCACCACTTGACCTGTTAACCAGCATTTGGTAATCATTGGGTGCTTTGTCTTTCTTTTTTCTGTTTTTGAAACAAGGTCTCACTTTGTCACCTAGGCTGTAGTGTAGTGGTGCCATCATGGCTCACTGTAGCCTTAACTTCCCTGGCTCAGGTGATTCACCTCAGCCTCCCGAGTAGCTGGGACTACAGGCATGCACCACTACGTTCAGCTAATTGTGTCTCTGTGTGAGTGTGTGTGTGTGTGTTTGTTTGTTTTGTAGATGCAGGGTTTCACCATGTTGCCCAGGCTAGTCTCAAACTCTTGAACTTAAGCAATCTGCCTGCCTCGGCCTCCCATAGTGCTGGGATTAGAGGCATGAGCCACTGCACTTGGCCTCATCTTTCTTAAGACACGTTTTTTGCTTGACTAATCAGATCCCATACCCTTGGTTTTCTGTTTCCCTGGTTGATCCTGAACAATTTCCTTTGTTGGCTGCTCCTTTTTCAAACTTTAAAATGATGGAGTACCCCTCAAAGCTCAGCTTAAATTTATTTCTCCATTTCCTGAGCCCCAAGCTGGAATGTCCAGCTGACTGTTTAAATCTCTACTTGGCTGTAACAGACATCGTAGAGTTAATAGGACCAAACCAGAAATTTTCTCCCCCATTCTTCATTCATCAGATTTGTTCCTTCTTTGATCTTCCCCATCTCAGTTAATGGTACTGATTTCTTAGCATTAAAAGTTGGCTCAAGATAGGTATCATCCCTGATTCCTCTCCTTCCTTTAGTTTTTATATTTAATCTATTAAAGTCTTTTCATTTCTGTCTTCATAACATATGCCAAATCTGACTACATCTCACTGTCTCCACCACTATTAACCTAATCCAAACTACCGTCATCTGTGTCTAACATCCTAACAAGTCTTCCTGATTCCAGTTTACCCCATTAAAGTACATCTCCACAGAAGATACCATATTAAAAATATGATTTGCAGAAACTTAAAAAAAAAACAGGTTGAAAAAAGACCTGCATCCAACTTTAACATCTTGCTTTTTCAAAACAATTTAAATTTGTTATGTATGAGAAAGAAATGGAATACAGCTCAAGAAAGAGCTTATTATGCTAAAATTCTCTGATTGGCATAAATCAGGGAATCTCAGCTAAAAATAAATATGTAGAAAAAAGCTGCAGTCAGTGGTTCTCAACTAGAAGCAATTGAGAGGGGTAGAAAAGGAGGGTTGGTTTCGAAATTACTGGAGGACTGCTACCAGTAGTTAGTGGATGTGAAACAAGCATGTTGTTCTGTAACATGTGAGACAGTCCTAAGAGTTCCATTGAGAAATAATGCAGGTGACTAACATTCCTGAATACCTGATGCCATTTCTTCAGCTTGTCTTTCCTTTTCCTCTTCTCTTTTTTCATCTTCAACATTAAGAAGTCATCTTCTGAAACACAAGTCAAGTTTTATCAGTTGCATGCTTAAAACACTCCTGGAATAGTCTACCAAAATTAGAATAAAATATAAACTCTTAGGAAGGCTCTGCTCATCTGGGCATTGTCCTCTTTTACCTTCTGCCATTTTCTTTCTGTTTCTTGATCATGTCAAGCTTTTCCCTTAATTTAAGGCTTTTACACTTGCTATTCTCTTTGCTTAGAAGACTTCTTTGACATATTTCCATAGCTTACTCCTTCCCCCCCGAGTATTAATGATTGCACATGTGATAGATGTATACATTCTTCATAAGGGAAAGAAAAAGAACTAAATGCTGTAGGCAATGCCAAATTCCCCTCTGATGCTTACATACAGTTCTGTTTCTAACTTCTAACACCCAGAGCTCAGTAACATGGGCTAGATTTATACCAGTTTAGTTCATTTGTGTATTTTTAAATTTTTTCACAGTAGTCCAGCATATATTGTATTTTATTTATCCATTCCCTATTGAGAGCTACTTGTTATTTTCTGGATTTTTTTTTTCCTGCTGTAAATATTGCTGTAACGATCCTCTCATGTGTCTCTTACCTTGAACATCAAGTATTTCCTTAAGGGATGCACTTAAAAGTGAAATAGAGCTCATTCCTTGTTATTTAAGTCTTTGTTCTGGTGCCGTTTCTCCAAACAGGGATTCCACGCATATTTGAACAAGAGAGCACATTGTTGACATTGTATATTTATATGTTTATTATAACAGTTTCCCAGAAGATGGCAGTAGTATCTTGAAGAATTATGTCTTTTTGTATTTTTTCATAAAAGTATCATATGGGCTAGCATTGACTGTTAGCAGAAAATGCTTCCCTGACTACCCTATCTAAAATGTCTTCCTGCTTCCCGGTTTCTTTTAATGACCTTACACTACTTTTTTCTTCAGAGCATCTGTCACTGCCTAAAATCGTATTGCTTTAATTACTTCTTAAGCCATACTTTTTCACTACATCTTCTGGGTGAACTGATCTTCTATTTTGCTATACTTCCCATTTTTGTTTGTTATTCTCTCTGCTTCAACTATCCACTTGTCTAGACCCTGTCCATCCTTCAAGTCCAAACTCTAATGCCACTTTTCCATGAAGTCTTTGTGATTTTCCCCCACTTTCCTGGCTGGAGAAGATTATTTCTCACTTCTAAGTTTGTGTAGCATTTTGGTTTCCAGAAATGACTATACATCAGAATCATTTGGGGAAATATTTAAAAGATACAGATTCCTAATTCTTATCATTAGATAATCTTTCATTAAGTAGGTCTAGGATGTAGCCAGAGAGGTGGGTTTTGTGAAAAGTATAGCATATTAATTGTATTCTCATTTGACCATTATGAAGTTCAGACTTTTATTGGAGTTATAGGTAATTGATGCATATAGCTTATCTCCTTTACCAGAATATGAGAGTAAAGGATGAATAAAGATTGTGCTGTGATACTTTTTTCCATAGGTTCATGTTTGTGGAATTTAATATTAGCATGTGTCTTTTCAAATAGTTATTCATTTTGGACCCGGAGAAAGTTCTTCAGAAGATGCTGTCATGATGAATACACCTGTGGTTAAATCTGCCTTGGAAATGGGCTTTAGTAGAGACCTGGTAAAACAAACAGTTCAAAGTAAAATCCTGACAACTGGAGAGAACTACAAAACAGTTAATGATATTGTATCAGCACTTCTTAATGCTGAAGATGAAAAAAGAGAAGAGGAAAAGGAAAGACAAGCTGAAGAAATGGCATCAGGTATTTGGGAATGTTAGTCACCTGCATTATTTCTCAATGGAACTCTTAGGACTGTCTCACATGTTACAGAACAACATGCTTGTTTCACATCCACTAACTACTGGTAGCAGTCCTCCAGTAATTTCGAAACCATCCCTCCTTTTCTACCCCTCTCAATTGCTTCTAGTTGAGAACCACTGACTGCAGCTTTTTTCTACATATTTATTTTTGGCTGAGATTCCCTGATTTATGCCAATCAGAGAATTTTAGCATAATAAGCTCTTTCTTGAGCTGTATTCCATTTCTTTCTCATACATAACAAATTTAAATTGTTTTGAAAAAGCAAGATGTTAAAGTTGGATGCAGGTCTTTTTTCAACCTGTTTTTTTTTTTAAGTTTCTGCAAATCATATTTTTAATATGATATTTTACTCCCTAATCCTTGCTAAATGATCCTCATACAAAAAATAGAACTTACAGTGAAATTCTGGGGCTTGATGAGAACCACCTGCCCAATCCAAGGAAACTAATTTTTGTATTCGTCCAGACAGTGTTAAGTTTCGGCCCCTCAAAACAAGTATTTTGAGTAATCATTTATTCCTTCAATAAATATTTATTGAGCATGAGCCCCAGTGCCAAATACTGTGCCTAATCATGGTGGTTGCTCTCAAGGAGTATATACACTAGCTGGCGAGACTAGTGTGCAAAAGACAGGGTTAAAGGGCCAGCAGAGAGACGAAGGTTGCATATGTATGGAGTATTGGGTTGGAAGATGCTTTCTTTTTAAGCTTGTAAGTAAAGGTAGGAAATAACTTAAGAGTACATTATTGGCCGGGCGCGGTGGCTCACGCCTGTAATCCCAGCACTTTGGGAGGCTGAGACGGGCGGATCACGAGGTCAGGAGATCAAGACCATCCTGGCTAACATGGTGAAACCCCGTCTCTACTAAAAAATACAAAAAACTAGCCGGGCGAGGTGGCGGGCGCCTGTAGTCCCAGCTACTGGAGAGGCTGAGGCAGGAGAATGGTGTGAACCCGGGAGGCGGAGCTTGCAGGGAGCCGAGATTGCGCCACTGCACTCCAGCCTGGGCGACAGAGCAAGACTGTCTCAAAAAAAAAAAAAAAAATTCCAACTCCATCAGTTACTAGCTTGGCTATTTATTCAACCAGACATCTGTTTTCTCATCTGTAAAATGGGGATAATAATAGTATGAATCCCATAAGGTTGCTGTTGGAATTAAATGAGATATTGCAAATAAAACACTTTAACACAGCTCCTAGCACATCAATTTATTTCTTTATTTATATATATATTTTTAACCATTAGGTAGATTGACTTGGTAAGTGGGAGGGACTTGGTGAAAGAAAGGGCCTAAGAAAGGTCAATTTAAGGATTGTTAAGTAGTAATGAAATCCAGCTAAGGTTATATGAAATTACTGTCACCTTAGATTTATGACTTTCTCATACTTTGTGTGGGTCGGAAAATAGTATTGAATTACAGATTTGGCAGTGTTAATAGGGGAAAGGCCAAGTAAGGAATATGGAAGATGAGTTAAGGGTGCTAATACAGAGAACCTCATTGAAACACCTGACTGCTACCTAGATTGGAATAGGAGATTTGAAGCAAAGCCTGGAGACAGCCTTGTGCAGGTAGAATTGGGAATGACGTGAAGATCTTGAAAAGGTGAAGAACAAATTTGTTAGCAGTGAGAGGAATTATTTCAGTAGAAGAAAAAGTTGTGGTCACAGAATGGAATTTTATAGTTTTGAGAGTATTAGAGCAGTTCACTTCTAGAAAGATGTAAAAGGGGAAAGAAGATAGACTTCTGTTTTTATAATTTATTTCTCATTAAACTGGTACTTTGTAGAGATGTACTTTTAAAATTTTTTTGAAAGTCTGAAAATAGACAAATTTTTTAATGATTCAGATACCAAAAGAAGGAACTACCATATTCCATAAATATAAATTAACTGGAGTTTTATGGGATGCAATATTGAAGGAAAAACGTTGACTTTTAATAAAAAGGTCAGGCCTCATTCTTACGTAGTGGTTCTTAAAATTGCTGTAAACATAGATATTTATAAAATAATAATGGTAGTTAACTGTGTACCACATATTGTGCCAGATGCTTTACATGTATTATTCAATCCTCACAACTCTGAGGAAGGTACCATTATGTATATTTTACAGATGAGGAAACTGAGGTGTATGGGGAAGGATGAGGACGCATAGCTAGTGAGTGAGCCTAGCCAACACTGGAATGTAGGTCTGTTTTGACTTCACAGCTCAAACCTTACAATACTACAATACCGCGTCTTAAATATGGGGTGCCGAAAAGAACAGTCGTCTAGGATACCTGGTTCTGCAGCTTATTCTTTCTGTGATCTTGGACAGGCCACTCATTCTTTTCTGAGTCTTTTTTCTCCCTATGTGAAAATGAGAGCCAGTGATACTTCCCTTGTTTAATTGACAGGATCACTGTATCAAATGAGACAAATTACTATGAAAGTGCTTACAAAAGTAAAGTGATATAATGGAAATATAACTCTATTATTATATAGGGTGGGGGAAATTATTACTGTCTTCTAAAAATCTCTTACTTGCAACAAAATAAAAGCGGAGTTCTAGGACATGTAAACATGTAGACTTAAAAATTACAGAACCAGAGACTTCCTCTGGAAGTTTACCAAACAACAAACTTTCAAATGCAAACAAGTTACTTTGTTCTTTTTTGAACTTTAGTGCCTAAATGGTTTGTAGGGTTGGTTATTAGGGACTATATGAGTATAGTTAAAGGAGTTTAAATTCTAATGGATTTCTTTTTCTTTTTTTAATGAAGATGATTTGTCATTAATTCGGAAGAATAGAATGGCTCTCTTTCAACAGTTGACGTGTGTGCTTCCTATTTTGGATAATCTTTTAAAGGCCAATGTAATTAATAAACAGGAACATGATATTATTAAACAAAAAACACAGATACCTTTACAAGCGAGAGAACTGATTGATACCGTTTTGGTTAAAGGAAATGCTGCAGCCAACATCTTCAAAAACTGTCTAAAAGAAATTGACTCTACATTGTATAAGAACTTATTTGGTGAGTTTGTTGAGAAAATTATTTTAGAAATTCTTAGGACTGGCTAGACGCGGTGGCTCAGTTTTGTATTTAGTAGAGTGATGCTTTTTATATGTTTTCTTTCCTCAGTGGATAAGAATATGAAGTATATTCCAACAGAAGATGTTTCAGGTAAAACAAAGATTTAAAACCAACATGAATTATTACTCTTTTTTTTAATGGGGAGTGAAGTGGAAGCAGTTTTACTAAAGTAATTTCTTGTTATTAGGTCTGTCACTGGAAGAACAATTGAGGAGGTTGCAAGAAGAACGAACTTGTAAAGTGTGTATGGACAAAGAAGTTTCTATTGTATTTATTCCTTGTGGTCATCTGGTAGTATGCCAGGAATGTGCCCCTTCTCTAAGAAAATGCCCTATTTGCAGGGGTATAATCAAGGGTACTGTTCGTACATTTCTGTCTTAAAGAAAAATAGGCTATATTTTAACATGTATAAAAAAGTCTTTAAAATATTGTTGAACACTTGAAGCCATCTGAAGTAAAAAGGGAATTATTAGTTTTTCAATTAGTGACATTCATGTTCTAGTCTGCTTTGGTACTAATAATCTTGTTTCTGAAAAGATGGTATCATATATTTAATCTTAATCTGTTTATTTACAAGGGAAGATTTATGTTTGGTGAACTATATTGGTATGTATGTGTAGACCTAAGAGGAACTAAGGGAGTAGTGTCACTGCTTGTTATGTTATCATTTCAGGAGTTACTGGATTTGGTATTCTTTCAGAAAGCTTTGAATACTAAATTACAGTGTAGATTAAAAGAACTGGAAACCAGAAACTCTGGAGTTCATCAGAGTTAATGGTGCCGAATTGTCTTTGGTGCTTTTCACTTGTGTTTTAAAATATCCTTATTATTTTCTCTTATTTCTCCCCCTAGTTTGTGAGAAACATCTCAATAAAGTGCTTTAAAAAGATTATGTTACCAGAATATTTTTTCTGTCCTGATTTAAAAAGTAATTTTCATGTGTCTTCATTGTACTCAAATGCCAGCTATTAAGTAAAAAATTGCATTCATGAGAAATTATTGTTTTAAAAATAATGTTATCTGTGAAATTTCTTTAGATGACAGTCTCTTGTTGCTTTGTATGTTATAGATACAATGTTGGATGAAAAATGAATCCAACGTTAATTTCAAAAAACTCTTAAATTAGATAAATAGGCATTATTTTCAGACAATCGTGTAATTGCTTTGTTGCATAGGTGTTGATGAGGTGAGGTGGCGGCATACAGGCAATGAATGGTTAGTACCTCCTTTCTTGGTCCAGCCATATTTGACCTTTCTTAGATCTCACTCTGTGGCAGACTTCTGAAGCCAGGTGGATAAGGAAGTCTAATGTTAAAAACTCTTCCTTTTTCTTCTCACCTCACAACTCTTTTGGATTCCTTTAGAGAACACATGGGAAGAGTGAGTAAGAATTCCTGTATCCCCCAGTCTCTTCTCTTGCCTTTGTTTCTGTCCTGATATGCTGATACATGTATATAAGTCCAAATGCATATACCTAGATTAAAGACCTCACGAGAGAAACTCCCAGCCATTATGGAGGGAGTATAAAGAGGGAATTCTTCCCCCCCCCGCCCCCCGCAAATTCAGTAGACTCAGAACAATGTTAAAACATTGTTAACTTTTCTCTGCTTTTCATCCTGGACTTATGATTGCTGAAGGGATAATTAGCACCCTCAAGGAATCAAATTAGAAGTCCTTTAGTCAGAACAACCCAACATGTCTAAGTCATAAAACCAATCCCCCTTGTTGTCACAGGATACTATTAAATCTTTTTAAAAACTATTCTCTTTTTTTCTTATCTTGCTTGTAATAGCTGCTCTATCGAGGATCCCGTTTGCCAGATACAGTGCTAAATGCTTTAAACAATTGAGATGTGCTGTAGGTTCAGTTGTATCCCCCGCAAATTTATATGTTGAAGTCCTAATTGCCAGTACCTCAGAATGTACCTGTATTTGGAAATGGGGCCGTTAAAGAGGCAAATAAGGTAAAATGAGATTATATAGTTGACTGCTAATCAACATGATTGGTGTTCTAAGAAGGGATTAGGATACAGATGCAGAGGGGTGACTATGTGAAGACACCCGAGAAAGAGGCCTCAGAAGAAAGCAAACCTACCAACACCTTGATCTTGGCCTTCTAGCTTCCAGAGCGGTAAGAAAATAAATTTCTGTTGTTTAAGCCACCCAGTCATTGTTACTTTATAGCAGCCTTAGCAAAGTAATACAAACTGCCCTTAATGGATACTTTAAAGCACATTGGCGCTGATCCTTTCAGCAGTTTTGCAAAGTAAGATTTGAACACAGATCTGCCTGACTCCTTAGCTTGTGCTTTTTTAACAAACTGTCCCAATAAGCTATCCTTATATTTTTAAAAATTAACATGGGCTGCTGTATAGTATAACATACTGATGCTTACAGTATAACTGTAACAGCTTACGATTTGCCATCTATTTATAAAAGAGTTATCTTATTTGGCTTTATTCAGCTAGCAGTTTAAAGACTTCTGTGTTTTTCACATTCCGTAAAAACAATGCAAAAAATATAACTAAACATAGTGTAATTTATACTTTATCTGCTTGCAAAATTCTCACATGGACCTGGGTTTGAGATTAGGGTTTTAGTCTCTTATCTTTTTTGCCCTCTTAATGATGATAATCAGTTAATCAGTGTCCTAGCAGGTGCCCATTATGTTGAGCAGACAGATGAATGTCAGATGCTTTGTTTGGATTTTTTATTGCCTTCCATAATCCTTAAAACCGTAGGAAACATGTCTCCTTTTTATAATACAAATGTGGAAATTGAGGCCCAGTGAAACCAAGTAATTTGCTAGAGATAACAAGTGGTAGAGTGTGAATTGTATACAGTCCAGGTGGAAGTGGCTCCAGAACATTTACTTTTTTTTTTCTAATCTCTTGCTAAACCGTACTTCAGTTTTTATTTGTTTGTTTGCTTTTGAGATGGAGTCTCGTTCTTGTTGCCCAGGCTGGAGTGCAATGATATGATCTCGCTTCACTGCAACCTCCGCCTCCTGGGTTGAAGTGATTCTCCTGCCTCAGCCTCCCAAGTAGCTGGGATTATAGGGGCCCGCCACCACAACTGGCTAATATTTTTAGTAGAGCCAGGGTTTCACCATGTTGGCCAGACCGGTCTCAAATCCCTGACCTCAGGTGATCCACCCGCCTCTGCCTCCCGAAGTGCTGGGATTACAGGTGTGAGCCACTGCACGCAGCCCGTACTTTAGTTTTGTACTTTCTTTCTTGTGGTTTGGATCTCTTTCTTCCCTGTCTTAACCTAAATGGGAGGAATTGTATGACTGTTAGTTATGCTTCTCATTTGTTTCCCACATTTTTTCTTAAAAGAGCTAAGGTACCAGAGCTGAATACAGTCTGCTTTTCTCAACACTAGTGACCTAAGAGACCCATTACTTGTTGACTGCCATTCCATAAGTCAAAGGACAATTGATAGCCAGCTTTGAAGACACACCTAAATTTTTTCTAGAGGTGTAACATTTCAATGAGTATCCCCTACTATATGTAAGAGAAACCTGTCAGTACATAGTAACAGTTCTTTCAACCTTTTTGGGTGCTCTGAAAAAATTAAAAGTAGAACTAAGATGCTGGCGGGGCACAGTGGCTCACACCTGTAATCCCAACCCTTTGGGAGGTTGAGGCGGGCTGATCACTTGATGTCAGGAGTTCAAGACCAGTCTGGCCAACATGGTGAAACCCCCATCTCTACTAAAAATACAAAAATTAGCCTGGTGTGATGGCAGTTGCCTGTAATCCCAGCTACTCTAGAGGCTGAAGCAGGAGAATTGTTTGAATGTGGGAGGCAGAGGTTGCAGTGAGCCAGGATTTCACCACTGCACTCCATCCTGGGCAACACAGTGAGATTCTGTCTCAAAAACAACAACAACAAAACAGAAGTAAGATGCTATTTGCTGTTTTCACTGTGCTGACATTTGCAATGATTGGTGCAGGCACAATGGTGGTCAGTAGACCTGCATTTAAGAACCACTGGTGTATGGTAAAACCATTAGCCTGATTTAAAAAAAAAAAAAAGAATCTAAGAATAATCGTATTAATGGATAACACTTAGTCTTATCTGTTGCGGTTTTCTTCAACATAGAAGGAACTCTTTTTGCCCCTGCACTTACCATCTTGGTGCTTTTCGGAGAGAAACATGGGTATGCCCGGTAGCTCAATCCCATCTTTCTTCTTTCTCTTTGGGAGCCAGCTTGTCTGAAGAGAGTGTACTCTGTCCTTCTGTGATGTCGGCATCACAGGGGCCTGTCTTAGTTGTTCAGTATTGCCAGTGACTGGTAAAGTGTGTTTCCTTCTAGCATTCATATCAGGAAATCTACACGAAAGCGTCATCCTTCAGATCTTTTATCAATGATAAACATGATGTTTTCAATGTTACATGGTGACTCTTTTTATTGGTTCTAAACTTGCTTAAAAGGGATGTTATTTATTGAGCCCCACAAGTCCATAATAGATTCTTTTGCCTACTTGGTCTGTTGGGATATGCGTGATTATTCCGGGGAAGAAGGTTTAGATGGCTTAGTAGAAATGAATACTATGGTAATAATTGATCACTGTGTTAGGTCCTGTTATCTTTCTGGTATGGTGTCCAGATAGGCTTTAACCATGGAGTCCTTGGAGCTTGGAAGCCTTAGCAGCTCTGATAATGAAGGGTAATAGGTAGTTAAAGAGCCCTGAATTTCAAATCCAAAGACTTTGCCTCTAAGCCTAATTCTACAGTTTAATGAGGTCCTCGGCAAGCCCTTTACAACCCTTTCTGGTCCTCAGTTTTTCTGTGAGGGTGAATTTCTGCCCTGCTTATTCCTCACAGGGCTGTAGTGAGGTCTGATGTAGAGCTGCACTTGACTTCTGTATTCTTCATTAGTGGATTATGCTAAAGACTGTCACAGGTCTGATTCCCAAGTAGCAAGCGTTCTGTTTCGTATCAGACCTGGATAGACTGAGTCATAGCATTGTGTTCCAATCAGTTTTTGTTTTGTTTTGTTTTAAGGCAAGGTAAATACTTTATATATTTGTTGTAAAAAGTTTCAAACAAAATCAGTGTATAAAGTAACATGTTTGAGTCCCCTTTAATTTCTCCCCACTACTACTTTCAGTCCGCTCCCTGGTAGTAATCACTGTTACATTTGATATGTATTCAGTGTGTGGGGGTATATGTATACACACATGCCTGCATACATATGGTTATAGAAATGTTCTTAAGGTTACTTTTTCACTCAGTAGTAGGTCTTGAAGATCTTTATCTTTCCATGACAGTAAGCAAATATCCAATTATTTTTCTATAAATATAGAAGTCATAATTTCAGCTTCAAAGCTATATGGACACTAAGATATTTTCTCTGTCCTATTTGATAATATAAAATCACTTTATAGTATTTCTGACAAGTACATGTACAACCTCTGTTTCAGACAGAATTAGTTACTTAAATGTATCCATTTTGAGGCTATTTTGGTTGCTAGAGTAATTCGTAGTATAGCATAATTCAGGATATTGGAGAACATTTTACACAGAGGTGAAAAAACAAGATCAGGTCTAGAAATCAGTGATAGGTTTGGCACAGTAAAGGCACAGAGGTGCAAAAGCGCAAGCATTGTCAGAGAACAGGGAATTGTCCTATGAATTAAAACATATTACTCTTGTTTTACTGAGGCTCGGAAATATTTTAATCCAAAGTAAGAAATAAGGGCCATAAGAGAGGTTCAGATGAAGTGCTATGGGATCTTTTTTAAAAAGAATATTAGATGAAATATCTCAATTGGGTATTGAGGATTAAATAGGGTTAAAATATGCAAAGCTGGAGAATGGAGTTATTGGGAAGTATTTTCCAGGAAGAGGGAAAAACAAAGAAAGACAAAAATGCATGAAT